AATAGAACTTCTACTGTCTTTCCATTTTATAAACTGCACAACTCTAACACAATCGAAAGACGTGATAAAGAAAGACATTTTATAAGGACTTTCAAACCTAAATTAAATAGTTTAATGTAAAAGAATTGTTTCTTTACATGTAAATTATGTTACTGAGTCACATTTATTGCTTTTTTATTGTATGCTTTGTTAATGCATTGTTCTGTGAAAGTACGGGAAAAATATGACGTCAATCAAAGACTTGTTAACGTTAAGTTATTATGACGTCACAATAGACATTACCATGAGTATTGTAAAACATCATGAAGAAGAAATGAAAGCGCTTATGTTTTACTCGTTCTCTGTGTTTTTATTTATTTAAAATAATTTTCATATATATATTTAAAAAACTTTGGATATATATATATATATATATATATATATATATATATATATATATATATATATATATATATATATATATATATATATATATATATATATATATATATATTGTTTATTAGGAGTTTATGTTTTCAGTCTTGATAAATCGAGTGTTGTTTTTAAAATCTTTATTATTCATCTTTACTTTGTAAATATACAACCTTTATTATTGTTTTTGCTTCTTTTTTCGTTAACGTTAAATTTAGTTGTCTCGCTCTGCGTCTTGTTTGACCTATCAACTCGACGTGATGCTTGTCGGATCACTGTTTTAATTATATCTATGAATTAAATCATTTAGTTAATTGTTATGCACCAATTGTGACAAAGGATATCATCTTTTAATAAATCTATACAGAGGGCCTACTGTAGGTGTGAAATATTAAAAGGGAATACATATTTCTCCTAGACACTACTTTATAGCAGCTCAGATTTTCCAATGTCTTGTGTCTTTAGCTGAAAGCGCACATGAGCCTTTCTCATCACACGGTGTCCAGCGTCCATCTTTCTATACACTTTTCACATTTTCAACTTTTACTAATTATATTTAAAAACCTGGGACATTTTAAAATTTAATTGATCTAATTGTTAAAAGCATCCATCGGTAAACGACATTATAAATAATTAAAACGAAGGGCCAAACCCCCTTCCACAGTCAGATTATTTAGAGGAAGCAAAAAAATATAATACTCGAGTAATTAAAAAAAGTATCCATATCAAGAACTAATGGGCCAGAAAATCTTAAAGAGCGAACATTTTAAACTAGTGTAAATTCTACATTGTTTAATTCATGACCTACAGGGGTAGATAATTATAGGACAAATACAGGAAATCAAAGATTTTAACCCTGTATATATATGTTGATATTCATGCCTAGAGCCTTTAAAATGTATGCTGCTTGAATTGTGTTATCACTCATGAAGAATGTAATTTTTAAAAGTTTTAATGTAAATGCTGATTGGATCCTCGCTTGATTTGATTTAAATCACATTACTAGATAGTTTTACAGCAAAGAAAGAAAAGGCTCAATAATTCATCATATCCTTTGGCATTATCTAAATAATATTGGAATTGGAAATTTTTCCAAATTTTTCCAAACTTTTTCGTAAATTGCATGGTTATCTTGAATTTGAAATAAATCTGCTTCCTTTTTATTGTCCAGATTAAAATCTAAAAGATAAAAGACAGCAAAGAATTACAAGAACTTCAAGATAGAAAAATGTAAAAACTAAAAATATTCTACCAGGATACATTGCTATATAGAAATTTTCCTTGATCGTTCAATTTAAATTAAAAATTTGTACAAAGTTTTCTTGAAATTCGGTTTTGGCTATCGTTGCAAGGGTTTTTTTTGTTACAGATATAGTTATAACTTTTCTTTTCGACATTCATTTTCAGTTCATCTTGATATCTTTTTTAACTTTCATTTCTTTGTAATGACCATTACTTTTATTTTCAATATTAAAATTTTATGAATCCTGTTCAACTGTTATTTTCTTTTCTTCGGAAAATGATTTTAAATCTACGTATGAACAAGTTTTTTTTACTTATAAGATTTATTATAGGATTAAACGTTCTTTTTGAAAAAATTATCGATGTGTAAACTCTTGACATTTTACTCACAAACTAAATAAAAGTGCGAAGCACTTTTATGTTAAGTTTGTGAGTAAAATGTCAAGAGTTTACACATCGATAATTTTTTTTTCAAAAAGAACGTTTAATGCGTATAATTCCAATTACTAATTTTTGAAAATTATTGCAATTATTTTTCTTTGAAGCCACTATACAATCCGTTCTTTCTGGGGGGTTTTTTGTTGCAAATTTGTAAATAACTTTTTCAATGACAGAAAAAAAAATAACGTTAATAAACCTCAGTTGTTCATATTTGTGACGGAAGAACAATTTATAAGCTTTGACTGAATCAAAATTACTTTAATGTCGTCCTGTACAATAATGTTTCAGAAAAAAGGGCCTTTACATCCAATTTCTTTAATAAAAAAAAGTAGTAAGGTTACACTTGAGAAAGTAATGGTATTAATCTAGCTGAAACATGTGCAAACATTACTTAAGTTTGGCGGTAGGACTTTTTTACCTGCTTGGACTGTGTTATTTGTGAACTAGCTAGCATAGTCAATTTAAACATTAAACAAAAATACTTTTTTCAGGAAAGGGGGGAGGGGCATTTTGAAAAGTACATGTAGAGACCATTCTCTTTAATTGGAAAATATTCTACCAACAGGATCGAGTGAAAACTGGTCTTATGCCATGTATTATATGTTTAAAAAAAACTCTGGCTTTAATTAGAAACATTGACCCTCAGCTTGTGAAATCTATCAGTTCAATCAAAGAAAATAACTTAGTTTGTTGTTTTTAAGCCTTTTTATCACATTACATTCATTTTTTGGTACACTGTAAGTATTTTATTCAGAAAAAATATCAGTTTTTTCTTCTAGTTCAACTATGTGTTTTATTCTACTTTCGGTTTTAAAAAAACGATGCTGGATTTAATTAGTTAATATTTTAGTTAATTTATCTTTGGTCTTGGGCTAATTCTTGCATGATCAATGCTAATCAAATGACAGTTGACAATGCCTGAGGCATGTAAATTAGCCAGGTGGCTGTGTGCGTGCGTTCAAGCGTGAAGTGATTTCCTGTCGTTTTGTAAACAAAGGGATTATCAGCATGCACTGAATGAAAAGAGCAGCAAAGGAATATTGCCTAAACTGGGCATATTTATTAAATTTGGGTTAGGAAAAAAGGCATGGCGCTGGAAAAAAGGGCATGGCGCCGAGAAAAAGGGGCATGGCGCCGCCCCATGCTAGTTTGCTTTAGATTTAACACTAGTTTCTTATATAAATCTGTATATTGGATTGTATACAGAAGTCTTTCTTCTGCTTTACTTTAGTCTAATTGATCACAAAGATTTAAGTTACCTACAAATTTATCATGATAACCCTTTTTAACAGCAAATTGAAATTTTCAAAAATGCAGCTCATACTGCTTTAAACTTGTTCTCGTCCAATCAAATCACAGGAAATCAATATATAAAATGAAGATTGGAATTATCATGAAATTTTTTAAGACGACTATGGTGCACCATAGACTCGACAATCTTTCTGATGTCATGGAAAACCCTTTACATTGCATTCATTTTTATTATTATAGCAAAGGATGGTGCATTATAATCAAAAATCAATAGTAATAGCTGACTCCATGTTCATTTATACAATCATAATGTTCAACTGACGTAACCAAAATATCAAAAGACGTGGACATCTTTCCCAAAACAAAGGTAACAATTAAGCTATTATATATTACTTTTTGCTCAATTTAGTCAGTCTTGATCTCAGTTTTTAAAATTTGGAAAATGTTGCCATGTTGACATAGAAATTGAAAACTCCGCAATGTTTTCAGTCTGCATGAAGACAATTGATACGAATTCAATATTGAAAGTTTTGGAAAATCTGTGATTCTGTGCCATTCTTACCTATACTACCTGGTCGATATCAACCAATGGATTAGACTGGTGGATCAGAGATTTTTAAAAAAGAATATAGGTCGTGGATGTGACAACTTACAATGTGCAATAATTAGAGGACATTTCTTTCTAATTCTGGTATAGGCCTTCTTGCATATCTTTTTATGTAGAATTTTGTTTGTTTTATTCTGAATGAAAAAAATCGCCACACAAGATTGGAAACGGAATAAAAGATGGTAAATATTATATTTCAAACTAGAATACTCATACTTCAAAAGGTAAGGAGGAAACAATTGTTACTTAAATTATTTTGAATTTCTATCCATTCAAATATTAATTGATCTCAAATTTTCTTATGTTAGAACTTAGATCTTATTTTATTTAATTTAAAATAAAACAGATTTCGAATAAGCTTAATGATATAATATTTTGATATCTGATTAAATTATATCCCCCAGTTCAGTTTGCGTTGTTATAAACTCTGCAAAAAAAAATAATTTTATGATTCACGTGCATGTTATGGATGTGAAACATCCATAGATCTGATTAAGTTTCTTTACCGTTTTCAAAAGAGAGGTGCGTTTATGTTTACAAGTAAGATAAAAAAAAAATAATGTCTTTACACAACTAGTTTAAGTTCCATTGAAAATAAAAAGAACTTTAAAAAATAGTGCAGTTTAAACCAGAGCACGAGTGTTAATTTTTTAGTTGTTATTCAAAGCAGATCATTTGTAAGTCGAAATTAGTACATTTATTATTTTATAAAAATAATTAATATATTATTTATAGAATAGTGATTTTTATAATAGAAATAATGATAATTTATTTTTAAAAAGTAACAATAATAATATTTATTTTTTTACAACGCAAATATTTTCATGAAAGTTTCTCCATAATCATTTTGCCAGGAGGTTACTAAACTTAAAACAATAGATAAAAAATCTTGTAATAGTGATTAATATTTTATTTATTTAAACATTTATAATACAATACAAACTAATTCAATTCAATTTTTTTAAATTAACCAATCAATTACCTGTAGGTCAAAATGAGATCTGGATGTATAAAGGGTTGTAAAAGATGTCACGAAAAATGGGAGACAATGATAGAGAACCTTTTTGGCAAACTCGCGGAGAAAATTTCAATTTACCCAGTTCCTATAATGGTTCTCTGTATCATTGTCAACTTGCTTTTGATAATTGGGATACTTGGAATGAAAGTGGAAAACGACATAGAAAAACTCTACACACCTATTGATAGCCAGGCAATACAAGATCGAGACACTGTACAAAACTTATATGGAGACCCAACAGACAGACATTTTCATTCCTACCAACTTAGTAACTTTGGACTCTATGGAGCTGTTATGATCCTTTCAAAAAACCTAAGTGACATAAAAAAACAGGCTTATGTGGACGAAATAAACAATATTCACGGTATTGTAAGTGCCATAACAGTTGAAAATAAGACATACGCAGACTTAGCCCCTGGATCAGATCCTTTGGAGGGAATATCTGGTTCCGTAATATTATCCCAGTCATTTCAAGACAATTTTGTTATTAATAATATCACGTACCCTTTATTCGGCAGAAATCTTTTATCTCCTTTTCTTGCTCAGGCCATTTCAGAAAGCAATAAATTGACCTCTGTTGTTGGTATTAAGCTACAATATTACCTGCGACAAAACAATGCATCCGTCATTCAACTTTCAAAGACATGGGAAAAGGCTTTCATATCCAAAATGGAAAACTTGAAGACTAACTTAACACAGATTGCTTATGTTTACTCAGACTCCATTGAAAAAGAATTAAACAAGAATATTAACAGTGATATACCATTGTTTGCTGTTACGTTTTCACTTATGATGACGTATGCGAATCTTGCATCATTAAATGCAAATTTTAACAACGTTGCTAATCGTATGAACTTAGGCTTTGCAGGCGTCTTTGCACCTGTATTGGCCATTGCTTCTGCCTTTGGGTTTGTCAGTGCTATAGGAGTGGAATTCACAAACATCGTCGGCGTAATGCCATTTTTAATTGTCGGTGAGTATTGTACAAATCAATGCTCCTAAAAAGCAAATTTAGCACCGAACTGAATTAGAGCGTAACTTTCTTTTGTATCCTAGATGCTTGAATTTAAAGATAAACAGACATGCTTAATCAATTTAGAAGCATTCATATATTATATTAATTCAGACAGAAGTTTCACTTTAAATGGCCAGCGATAAAAAAGGGGATAAAATAAAACATAATCAACATATCTAATTTCATATATTTTGAAAAAAAAGGATATATTTTCCTTTTCATTGGTTTATTCATTGATATAGGAATAGGAATCGATGATATGTTCATTTTAATGTCTGGAATGGCAGATGCCCCATCTTTGTCTGAACAACCCAACGACAATGATATAAGGAAGAGGATGATATTTATGATGAAAAAGAGTGGTGTTGCAATAACTATTACATCTTTGACAGACTTCCTGGCTTTTGCTATTGGATATTCGTCCGTTTTTAAAAGTATAAAGAACTTCTGCGTTTATACAGGTATGAATATTAGATTACTTCATCATAAAACATGACTTAACTTTGAAAACGCTGACTTTTAAAAATAGTCTTTTTTATATATTTTAGGTGTATCTGTGTTGTTCTGTTACCTAAACCAAATTTTCTTCCTCAGTCCGGCTATAAGAATTAATGAGAAAAGAACTATGGAAAAAAGACACTTCTGTTTGTGTAGTAAAGTTGTCAAACCAAGAGAAGAGTACGCAGAAAGCTCTGAATGCTTTTTGAAATGTATCGCTGGATCTATCCCCATAACAAGAAGTGATGTAGAAAGTCCCTTGGAAAAATACCCCAAAAAGTTAATACTTTTTATTTTAAATGGAATTTGGGGAAAAATCAGCATTGTTCTTGTATTCTTAACTTATTTGGGTTTCTCGATCTATGGTTGTATACATCTTCAGCAGGGCTTACAGCTTTTCAATTTAGCCTCGGAAGATTCATACTTTTACAAGTATAGTTTATGGGACGAAAAATATTACACCACAGAACCAATGATTATGATTTTAGTGACTCAGACGATGGACTACCACCGGAGTGAGACACAAAACCTTATAAATTCTGTCTTATATAAAACTAAATTGGACAATTATATCGACATCAACATTGAGATAAACTGGTTAGAAAGTTACAAAACATATCCATCATATAATGCCACGTCCGAATCTAGTTTTGTTCTAGGTCTTGCTCACTTTTTAGCATCCTCTTCTGGACAATCTTTTACAAATGATGTAGTTTTGGATAATTCAAACTTGAAACTACTCTCATCCAGATTTTACTTAAAGGCGAAAAACATGAAAACATCGGATGAACAAGGAGATTTTATGAACCGCATGCGAAAAATAACGGATAGTACCGAACTTCCTTGCATAATTTATACCCCGGCTTTTGTATTTTTTGAACAATACGTTCAAGTTTTACCCAGTACTCTCCAAACGGTAGGCATTGCTGTAGTTGTTATGCTTTTTGTTACATTCATATTCGTGCCAGATCTTAGAGTCGTATCGATTGTATGTATAACTCTGATTAGTATCCTTGCTGGAATATTTGGATTCATGTTCTATTGGGATCTCACTCTGAGTTCTATTACCATGATCCATCTTGTCATGAGTGTTGGCTTTTCTGTAGATTTCAGTGTTCATATCTGTCATGCGTTTTTTTCGGTGGAAGGGGACGATCCAAACGAAATTCTACAAAATGCTATGGACCGTGCAGGTGGCCCTATCGTTAATGCTGCATTCTCTACACTTTTGGGAATTATAATGCTAGCATTTTCTAGCAGTTACATTTTTGTTTCTTTTGGTAAGCTTATGTTTCTGGTCATCACATTTGGTTTATTACACGGTGCTTTTTTTCTTCCATTACTTTTATATTCTTTGAAAGCACGTAACTTATGTAAGACAAAAGTTAGCGAAGCAGAGGATGGTGGAATACACACCACAGAGGCTGTTTCTTCTATTCCAAAAAATGAATCATTTATGGACATAGAAAATAGGTACGATAAACATGTTTGCCTACCAGAAATACATTCAAAACATTGGAACAAAACGTGTATTTCTTAGAAATTATATTTCCTTGGAAATTGTTCCTTTCTTTCAAAGTTACTGTGGTAACATGTTATTTATCTTTTTGTTTATAATTCAGGTCATTATCTTGCCAAGAGTTTCAGGTTCCTAGATTACAGTCTTTTTCCTCCTCACAACAAAGACGGTCATGTCCGGATATACAGGAAGACATGCGCATGCACAAAGGGAACAGTAATAAACGTTTGGGAAGAACAACACATATTGGCAATGGTTTCATGAAGTATGAACCTTTTCGCTCTTGATTTTTTATTTGTGACTTTTTTGATACTTTTTACACTTATTTATATTTCTGAGGATCACATAAAGACCACATAGCGCAAACCTAAAAGTGATTCCATCTGTGTAACATTTTCACGCACAGCAATTATACTCAGAAATTTTCTTTGTAAGGGACGACAACTTTTGCAGTTGAAAAGTATTGAATGTGTCCAATTTAATTTTCTTTGAATGATAATCAATACAGCAAATATTATATTAATATATATAGCAAATAGAGTAATTTGAAATGATATTTCATAACTTTGAATTCTTGAGAAAAAATGCGCTGATTAATATTTTAATTTTCAGATATTCAGGACATGAAAGAATCAGTTCGCATGAAAACATATGATCAGTAAAAATTGATGTGTGATATTCAAAGATTAATTTAATTTTATTTTCAGTTTGTGCATGTTTTTCTATTTATCATGAAATATACAGTATACTGTTGTAGCATTTATGTTTGTTTGTATAAATTTCTACGGATATTAATTTAATAATTTTAGATGTTTTTCACTTACAGTACATGAGATTACATGAAATATATAACTTTTAGAACAATTACTTGAGGATGTAAACTTACATGTATGAATAAGGCAGAAAAATATTTACAGCAGATGATTTTTACGGAAATGTATTGTTTTTAATTGTGTCGCCTGATATATGCAATTGTTGGTATGTGAGTTATAATAATTTTTGTTAATCAATTTACTGCATTTTGCTTTCAGATGTTTTATGTTTGTTTGAAAATAAACATATTATCATGAAATTAAACATTTGTTTTTTTCAAGAGAGAACAAAATTAGGGCAATAATTGTTGTTATTATACAGTATGATTGAATAATTCCCCTCTCCCTGACTAAGATCCAACAATGTTAGAAAAATATTACGTTATATTGACCTGCATGTGACCTTCAAGGTCAATATAAAGAATTATTGCAGAGCAATATAAGGAATAATTCCTATTCCATTTTTTATGTTACAATGAAATTTCTTGTTAAAAACTTTCAATTAAAAGCAATAAAAACAGTATTGTAGGAATTTGCTATCATTTAATCCTATGATAAAACATATTATTGCTGTTTTTGTGGTTAATACGATGATTTAGCCACCTTCGAAGAACAATATTCACTTCTCGGGCTCAGTGAATTTTGTACTATTCAGGTCTCTAAATCATCGTATTGACCTTTAAACAGCAATAGTTGCAATTGTATATTGGAATAAAGTGTTTTAAACACACATTTCTCGATGAATTAAATTCCAGTAATTCAAAATTTGCAGCTCTCTGCTTATAAAATCTTAGTTAGAAATGATTTTGTTGAATGTATGCTTTTGAGTATCGAATAAGCTAAGGGACAAACACAATGTGCAGGAGAAAACAAAATATTGCTACAGAAATGAGATGTTTGCTTTTTTGAATTTTTTTTTTTAATTCAGTCACCAAATGTGACACCATCGAACATCAAGATAAATGATCTAGTCATACGAAATTATTTTCATTTTTTGCAGATAAAAAACTTTTTTAAAAATATAGCCTCGAGAATTAAGATACACCAGAAGTCTCTGTCGAGACTGTAGCTCTACAGGTTAATACTTAAGACAAAGGAAGAGAAAAGTAGCAGTTGGGAAACTTTAAAACAGCAATAAATAGAAAAATGATCCTTGCCGCTCATCACAATAAAAACCAATGCACTGAATTATGTATCTTAGTATAGTCTATTTGTGTGCCAAGTTACAACTGTATATTGAAATCGGACCAAAACTGTAGGAGGAGTAGCATTTTGAAAAAAAAATTACAGAAATTTCTATTTTTAGTAACCATCGCAATATCGTTCTTCGAAATCAAAAACTGATGCACAAAATTATGCATCTTAGTGTAGTCTACTTATGTGTTAAGATACATTGAAATCAAACCAAAACTGTAGGAGGAGTAGCATTTTTAAAGAATTTCACATAAATTTCTATTTTTAGTAACCATGGCAACATCGTTCATCGAAATCAAAAATTGATGCAAAGAATTATGTATCTTAGTGTAGTCTACTTGTGTGCCAAGTTATATTGAAATCGAATCAAAACTGTAGGAGGAGTAGCATTTTGAAAGAATTTCACAAAAATTTTTTATTTTTTATTAACCATGGCAACACCGTTCATAAAAATCAAAAACCGATGCACAGAATTATGTATCTTAGTGTAGTCTACTTGTGTGCCAAGTTATATTTAAATCAGACCAAAACTGTAGGAGAAGTAGCATTTTGAAAAATTGTTTACAGACAGACAGACAGACAGACGGACGGACGACGGACGCATTTCTATCGCATAAGCTCTTCTGGTCTCTGACCAGTAGAGCTAAAAAAAGAAATGCTACAATTGGTAAAGTTCTAGGGTGTCGCACTCATTTCTTCTACTTATGGCATTTCTCTCCTGCGTGGGATTTACTCTTGAGTCAGGATGAATCCTTACGTCGCAGATTCAGATCTCACTTCTGGACATGGAAAACAGTCATTCAAATAAAATTAGATCTCCTGTGTCGCAGTTTAGTGCCGAGCTTAGGTCTAAATTTGAAACGCTTCATCGGAAAGAGTTAACACAAAGAAACAAAAATTTCTCATAATCATATAGGGAAGGTCATATTTGTTCTACATTAATTTACTTTTGCATGCATGTAAATAATCGTAATTTTAAAAATTCCATGGGATCTTTTGAGAGGAGAAATATGGTTTTTTGTTTGTTTGTTTGTTTTTTGTTTGTTTGTTTTGTTTTTTTTTTTTTTTTGTTTTTTTGTTGTTGTTGTTGTTGTTGTTTTTTTTTTTTTTTTTTTTTTTTTTTTTTTTGTTTTTTTGTTTTTTGGGGGGTTAAATTTAAGATGGACAATCTGCTAGATAGTTACTGAAAAAAATATGCTTAGTGCTTAGTGTTTAGCTTTTTCGAAATGAGATATTCAAGTTTTGTTTATGAATTTAATTTAGTACATAGGTCTACAATTGTCATAAAATTTCCACAAAAAAAAAACATGCCCAAATTTAGCATACACTGCAGTGCGTGTGGGTTTTCCAAAGTTTTCAATAAAAATCTTTAGGGAAAGTACCTAAAAGATAACCATTCGATTATCACGTGTTTTTCTTATCATTTGAATGAATTTGTGTTTGTGCATTATGTTTTGACTTTAATGCAGGTCACATTGGTGTTACAGATATGTATATTTAAATAAAATTGTCAATCAAAAATAGTTCTATCCAGTCATATTATTTGTGACTTAACCCCACGTCATAGAGGCAGTATATAAAGATAAATTCACGACTGAGCTTAACCTCAGTTGGAAAAAAATATACTAAAATGTTTACATGTAAAGTCTTTCAACTTTAAAACTGCATGCGAAATGGACACTGAGGATGCCATTGCAATCGTTGGAATTGGTTGCAAATTTCCCGGAGCTGAGAATGTGGATGAATTTTGGAATGTTCTTAAAAATGGTGAAGACCATGTTAAAGATATTCCAAAGGAAAGGTTCAATGTTGAGGCTTTTTATGATACCGATCCTGACACGCCCGGTAAAACATACATCAGAAAAGCTGGATTAGTCACAGGGTATACGGAATCATTAAATTAATTCTTCGGCATAAATGTATTTTTAAAAATAAGACTAAATATTAGTAAAGTATGTTTTTTTTTTTTTATTTCTTAACATGAAGCTATTTTGCAATTTTAATTTTGTAGAATTTAAATAGATTTGATAAAAAAAAATTCTTACCATAACATAACCATAATCAAATGAGAATAATTTAAGAAATATACTCTCACTTTATTTATTTATTTATTTATTTATTTTTCATTTTTTATCTTTATTACATAATTTTATCATTCGAGAAGTGTTTTGATATCAATTTTGATTTTTTTTATTCGTTCATGTTTGTAGGATCAACGAATGGGATTACAAATTTTTTGGAATTGGAGAAAATGAAGCAAAGAGAATGGATCCCCAACAGAGATTAGTGTTGGAGTGCACCTACAAAGCCCTAGAAGATGGCGGAATCACCAAAATATCCCTGAATCAGTCGGATACAGGAGTATATATAGGTGTGTTCTTCGTTTTAATTTACGTTATTTGTACTTATATAATCGTATTTTAACTATTCATTCGTTCTTTGCAAAGCTCTATAAATCACTTCTAATTTCATATCATGTTAATAAACATTGGTATCTAAAAATGCTTTTTCGGGATAAAAATTTCTACTTTTAATTAGACCTTTCTGAGAAGTTCAAAGAACCTTGAAGCACATTGAGAGGCATATAATGAAATTTGTTGCACGAAAAGATTTAATTTTCAAGCTTCATTTAAAGACTTTTTGAATTAAATCATAAATTAAAGAGTTATCCTTCCTGGCTGAGGGTCGGAGTCCCTTAAACACATAATCTTTGAATGGAATAGATGTGCCTTGGAGATATTCCCCTTAGACGCCATCTTCATGATCTTGTAGGGCAAAATATTTAGTGAATTTACTTCTTTGAGCAACCAATTTTAAACACACATTCAAGAAATATGTGGTGGATAATATTTCCAATCGTAAAATTATGAATTAATAACGGCTGTAACAAGCGTATACTGAGTACTAATAAGAAAAATAGTGTTATCTTTACCTCAGTAACCAGTATAACAAATTAAACTTGGTTGAATAATGAAGGGATCTGGGAAAGTTGTCCTACAATATGGCAGCTAAGGAGAACAACTCCAAAGCAAAATATGTCACAGGAAAGGGTCTATTGTAATTGTAGAAGAAAACAAAGGTTTATTCTTGCGTGAACATGTGGGGACGAGGTAGTGTTTCCGGATTTTGATTGGGTAAATTGCAGACGAAAAACCGTGCTACTACACCACTTGCACGGTACGGTTCGTTTTGTTTTGTGAACAGTGCGGTGCACTTTTTCAATGACACGTTTCGTTTTGTGCAAGTTCGTTTCGTTTAGTGAACAGCACGGATCGTTTTGAGAACGGTACGATATGCTTTGTAAACGGCGGTTTGTTTTGCAACCGGTTCTTTTCGTTTTGTGAATGGTACGCTTTGCAGAACGCTTTGTTAATAAAGTGGGAGAGCATATAGATACGTAGTAGCATATTATAATTGGCTATCAAATGAAGGGTCTTTCTTTCTTAATTTATTTATAATAATCTTGTTTCTTATTAAATGAAAGAAGGATATCGTTAACATTTTATACAAACTCTACAAATGTAAGGACTCTTCTTGTTGATCTTATTGTTCTATATGAATTTTCTTGTTCTTTAAATGTACTTATACTTATGACGCAAAACAAATGAGTTTCATTTTTATAAATCCCAATGCATTTATAAAACTTTTGAGCGCATGACAAATGTAACTTGAAAAGATTTGTACTATAGAAAACTTTGATCTCCCATTGTGGCCCTACCCTACCCCTAGGGGTCATGATTTGAACGAACTTGAATCTACGCTACCTCAGGATGCTTGCAAAAAATATGACCAACCATGGATTTGTTGTTCTTGAGATTAATTTTCAAGATTTTTTTTCTAAAAATTCTTATGTAAAACTTTGATCCCCCATTGTGACCCCACCCTACCCTTCCTACCCCGCGGATGGGCATGATTTGAACAAAATTGAATTTACACAACCTGAGAAGTCCGATGCTTCTACATTATCTTTCCCGACCTAGTGGTTCTTGAGAAGAAGATTTTTGAAACATGCCACCAAATTTTCACTATTTCTTAATTATCCTCCCTTGAAATAGGATGTGGCTCTTCAATTAAAAAAAAACAAACTTGAACCCCCTTCAGCCAAGGATGCTTTGTGCCAAGCTTAGTTGAAAATGGCCTAGTGTTTTGTAAACGGTACGGAACGGTTTGTGAACAATACGTTTCTTTTTGTGCACGGATTGTGTTGTGAACGGTACTAATAGTCTATGCTTCTTGTACTGAATAGTTCGTTTCGTTTCTGATGTGACGTTTTAGGTTCAAAATTAGCTAAAGATCGCCCCATACATATATTTCAGTGTATGATGTCGACATTCAATATTCATGAAGCGTGTCCAAAAAGTGATAAAATGTTAAACGTAGCTACATCAATATAATAATTTTGAAAATAAAAGCAATTTTTATATCTAATAAAGATTTCTTTCTTTTCCTCTGCAGGCGTGATGAATGGAGAGTTTGAAGCAATCACTGGGATAGATCCTAACCTGTTAACCAACACCTCGGTAACAGGCATTAGCAGAAGTATTATATCCGCGCAGGTTGCCTACTTTTTAAACCTCCATGGACCGGCTATGTCTATAGATACAGCTTGTTCGTCTTCACTTGTAGCCATCCATACCGCTGAACAAGCCATTAAAACTGGTAAATACATGTAAATATGTTTAGTTTGTTATCAACATTTTTAATATTTTACTGTATGCATATTTTTATGCCCTGGGGTCGAAAATTCCCTGGGGTAAATCATTTTTGTCCTGTCTGTCTGTTTGTCTGTTGTCAACTTTAACCTAGCCCATTTCTATTGAGTGGGTGGGGCTATGGCTTTCATATTTCTCAGGTGTACATGTATTCCATGTGAGAAGATCTTTCTTTGGGTACCACCAAATTTGACATTTTGACCTTGAACTTGGAGTTTGACCAACGGTACTTTTACAAAAAAAAAAAAAAACCCATATTTAAAACCTTAGCCATTACTTTTGAAGTTAGAGCTAGGGCTTTCATACTTTACAGGTATATGCATTGTGACAAGACCTTTCAACTGGTATAAATATTTTGACCTTAACCTGAGAGTTTGACCAACATTTAAAAACTTTTACCTTTGGTCAGAACTTTTAACCAGTTGGATCTATGGTTTTCATGTTTCAAAGGTGTATTCCTTGTGACCGGTCAGCAGGGGATGCTCACTCCTCCATGGCACCTGATCCCACCTCTGATGTTTCAGAGGTCCCTGTTTGCTCTGCTCCAATTTTGTATTGTTTTATAAACGTTGATATTGAATGCTGTTCGTTATCTCCATATCCTTCTTGTAATAAAACCTTCCTTTAGGTACCAACTTTTTTGACTTATTGAAACTGAGTTTTGGAGATTGACATGCAGTTAAGAGAATTCAGTTCTCGCTGTAAGCTCCCATACAGGGGGAGGGGAGGAGTCAGGTGTCAGTGTTTCACAAAGGAGTCAGGTGTCAGTGTTTCACAAAAACATCTTGTTTCATCATTCCATTATACAGTAAAATACTTTTATAGCAAATACGCTTATAACAAATCGAGCAAACGCTAACGACAGAGTAATTTTTGTTTTCAATGGCTTCCAAGTATATTTTTATTTGACAAATATTATGCATTACTTAAATTATAAGGTAGAAAAATCCGTCCTTCAGGTACATTTACATGGCACTATGCTTTAATCTTTTTTACTGTATTGCGTACACCTTTTTCTTTTTTAAAAAAGGTGAAATGAAGATGGCGATATGTGGGGGTGTGAACGTTTTGTTGAGTCCATCAACGTCTATAGGTTTGTCTAAAGCACGGATGGCATCGAAGACTGGAAAATGCCACACTTTTTCCCAGAATGCTGATGGCTACGTAAGAGGGGAGGGATGTGGAATTGTTATTCTGAAACGACTTGGTGATGTATGCATTTTATTGCGAAAATATACTTGTTTTATTAGGAAAACTAAATTAAAGTTATAAGTACATTGTACTTGAATGGTTTATCAATAAGTATAATTTAAAGGAAAAATTCGGTAAAGATATGAGTAAATAAAACTTAAATTCGCAAAAACAGCTATAAATTGAAAAGAAATATAAAATTATTTTTATTTATATAAAATAAGCTTGCTGCTTACCCCTCTGTGGGACGTGAAGACTGGTCCCCTTGTCGCAACAAGTGTTGGCAATAAAAGAAATTTCACTGCTCAATGGCTCGGAGTATCGAGCATAGGTATGAATTTGCAGCTCACCACTGGCAAACGTTATCGTCTCCATATGATTGAGAAATTATCGCTAGGTATGTTAAACAATTAACAAAGAAGCAAAAATACATAAAGTATCGACTTCCAAAGCAATGGAATCCTCTCCATTGTAGTATTTTTCAACACATTTTAGCTTTTGAAAATTCAAGATACACTGAGTGGAAGGTTGCTGACAGATTGTAAATGCTGTTTGTTTTCAGATAAATATCAAGAGTCAACCCTTGTAGCAGATCTATTCTTTATAGTTATCATTTCAAAACCTACTAAATTCTACCTAAATAATGCATACATGTATATGCTACCAAGTCTGATAACTTTAAATGAAGAGAAGAAGAGGACTTTGCATCTGACTAACGTTTTCTTAATGTATGTTCAAGTAGACATGTATTTTCCACAGATCCATTGAACTGTATGTGTCGTTCTTTAATGAATCTTGCATATATACTAGAATGTTGCTTTTTTTATCCATGTCACACCTCATGTTTTGAATGAAGCATTGTCTTTTTTTAAGACTCATGGTTTAAAAAAGAGCTATCTTTGGAACAGGTCCACTTTAAAGTCAAATCTTTTTATGAAATGACTTATCGTACAAAAAGAATGAATTTTAAATGTATCATACGTACATATCAAACATATCAAAAGTACGCCTATGTGTCATTCCTGTGGGCTAATCTATTTGCTTTTCCATCACATCCATTATACCATATATTATAATGGAAATATCCTCAGTGAACTAACTTTTTGGGAATTGTTTGATTAAGGAATTTTTTTTTGAATATTTCGGTTTTATGATGTGATCAATCGAGTGGCTTGCGTTGTAATTTGCACAAACGCCGACAGCGCTTATGCATAAATTTATCACACAAGCCAATCGATTGATCATTGTCATGAAACCAAAAAATCTGACAATTTTCTACATTTTCAAGATACTGATTCTGTAATTTCACGTGCTACACGCTCGTCTCTATTTGTCCTACCCCATATGTGATTTTCTTTGACCGCGCCTATCGATGAACAAAAACATTTATGTAGAAATAAAGTATTTTAACTGCTTGTACAAATGTACTTTTATCTCATGAAATGCATCGGAAATGTAAATTTTCTGGACTGCAAAATACTTATGTCCTATTTACTTCTCTGCCATTTGCATTTGATAACGAACTATTTCCAACTCGTTTTGGTATAAGCTATTAATGGATTATGGTTGATTGATATTATTTTAACGTCTCTATCGAGAATTTTTCACTCATATTGAGACCCCACCACTTGCAGTGGAGAGCTACAAATTTTGTCTAATACCGGCCTCTACGTCCCACAGTGGGATTCGAACCCGCGACTTAAGGATCAACTCCTTATTTCGCGACTCTAGGGCAGACGCTTAAACCACTGCGCAACGCGGAGGACATGAGGATTACTGTGAAATCACTAATTTCTGTGGGGATTTAATTTTCGTTGTTTTCAAGGCATGAAAAGACCCTGGAGTTCCTGAACACCTCGAAATGTAAAATGTTTATTAACATTACTACTCAACACTTCTCCGACCTCGAAATCAAATTCCCATACACCAATTTTTCTATTTGGAACCCTCGAAAATTTGAATGCTTGAAAAAATTTGATTTTATAGTATGTGATTTATTTTTAAAATCATCCCTAGGCTATTCGTGACAACAATAAAGTATGGGCAACCATAGCCACTGCCTGCAACCAAGACGGACACGAGAACTCTCCGATCACGGCGCCCGCTGGTGTTCAGCAGGTCAAACTCTTAGAGAGAATCTTTGAAAAATTAGCCGTTCATCCCAGCAGTATACAATACATAGAAGCTCACGGTATGTCAAATCTCTCTTTTAAATTTTAAAAGAATGGTTTAACTTACTAATTACTGATGAGTGAGCTAGGGGATGCTCACTCCTCCATTACACGTAATCCTACCTCTGATGTTTCGAAGGCCTCTGTTGCTCTGCTCCTATTTAATGTATTGTTTAATGGATTTTTGATCTTGAATACTGTTTGTTATCTGCATATGTTTCATGTTATGGTTAAACTTACCTAATTATTATCTAATTGAAATTTGACAAATAACGAAACTGATGAACATTTCTCTTTTCATTTCTATGTTCAAAAATAGTAACGGTGTCGTCGGTCGAGAACTATGCATTTATGGTTAATTTTGGAATATTCTCAATGGTTGTAATTAAATCCTATTTGATTGAAAAATAATCTTTTTAGATCAGGCAAAAGGTGTCAATGTCTTGATCTTGGCACCTATGACATCAAATTTTGGGGGTCAAAGTTAATGCATCTAAAAGTTTTTTTTTAAGATTTTCTTTTAAAATACTCGTGAGCAACCCTTGACACATTATAAAGTTTCATATCACATGATGTAAAATGATATTTGATAATGCATCTTTCAGAAAACTCGCAATGTACATGTCAATTCAAAAGTTCAATGATATGCGCTTTTTTGTAAATTAAATTACTGTATATTAATACTATGAATTTAAGGTGCTTTTCCTGTTGGCTTCTTTCAACTTGTTGCAACTATAAAGTGTAGTGTATTGATTAAAATGAATCTCACTGTGTCATTTGGAGGTCCTGTTTTGCAGTGGGTGTTGGCACGGATAATATCCCTCACTGCTCAATGGCCCTGAATGCCAAATGTAGGTCTTCATTTGCAGCTTCCCAGCGGCAAGTTTTTGGGTCTCTATACGAGAGAATAAACCCCTAGAGAGACTTTAAACAACAAACAAACAAAACATTTAAAGTCTTTGGTACATGTATCCTTCACATACTTGCACACAAAAAAGTGTTCAGTTATGGGCAAGAATAAAGCAGGACTTTACAAAAAATCCTCCAATGGTCAACTTTAATCTTTTAGTCCTGTTTTAAGTAAGAGAAGTGTTGACAGATTTTGTACCAGAATAGGTAATTTATTTTATCTTTACAAACTTAATCTAAAAAACGGAACCAATTCTAAGTTAAGCGTGGAAAATGATACCTGACAAGAATATCAATTTTATTATGTTCTTCATAAAAACCGGATTCTTATTCAATTCAGCTCGACTCACTGACACAGTTATAAACTTTCATTGAGCAAGTCATCTTATATTTATTTTAAATAATGTTGAATGTTATAAATAATATCAGAATTCAGATTCCAATTTTTGTTATGGTGAAGATAGCAAATTGAATGACAGAAGTATTTCGCGAAAAGAGGCAAATTCTTTCTAGAACAAGTGGTGTTTGTGAAACACTATGCCCGGGCAGCTAAACATATTTTAGCATATAGGTCACAGTCAAGGTCACAAGGTCATTTGTCATTGTCATTTGAAAGAACTTGATTAGTGAAGTATGTATACCAAATATGAAGTCTCTATTTCTCATGGTTCAAAAGTTATGGTGAAGTTAAAAAAGCTATTTTTAGCATATACGACACAGTCAAAGTCACAAGGCCATTGACCTTGGTATTTTGTGAAAGGGCTTAATTAGTGGAGTATGCATGCCAAACACTAAGTCTCTATCTTTCTTCGTTCAAAAGTTATGGCGAAGGTTAAAAGTTGCCGACAAAAAAGCTATATTTAGCGTATAGGTCACAGTCAAGGTCACAAGGTCATTGACCATGTTGGTCATTCATGGTTCCAAAGTTATGACGAAGGTTAAAGTTTGCAGACAAACAGATAAACAGACAGGACAAAAACAAAATACGTCTCGGATCTTTTGATTCGGGTGCATAAAAACTCAAACTTTCACTAAAATTTGTTTATAGGTACTGGAACCCCGGTGGGTGATCCAATAGAGGTGAATGCCTTGGGGAATTTTTTTAGTAGCCATCGCAATAATCACAACATAAAAATTGGATCCGTGAAGACTAATATAGGGCATCTTGAATCTGCAGCAGGAGTTGCGGGACTTATCAAAGTTCTTTTGATGATGAAACATGGAGAATTTGTGCCATCATTGCACGCAGAGCCACCAAACAAAAACATCCCATTTCAGAAATATGGACTCGTAGTCAGTCAAGATAACACAGAATGGAAGTACGATACTCAAGGTCGACGATTAGCCTCAGTCAATTCCTTCGGCTTTGGTGGCACAAATTCACATGCAGTAGTGTGCAGTACGCCAAATCTTTTCTCTCTACCAAATAAACACAAAGTTACCATGACAGATGTTTTATTTCCAAACTATAAAGTTGTTGTTTTGTCAGCAATTACAAACAAATCAGTGCAAGATTTAACTGAGGACTTAAGACAAAATTTAAATGGAATGAAGTTAGAAGATTTATCGTATACATCTGTTCTTCGTAGGGATCATTTTAAATATCGCAGAATGTTTGTCACAGATTCGATTGGCAATCTCGACAGTCAGCTGAAAACATTTTTACACAAGAGCGATCAAAGCATTTCTGTTACACATTTCCAGCAATCAAAAGTAGTATTTGTTTTCTGTGGGGTAGGAACGACTTGGAAAGGAATGTGTGCAGATTTTATCACGATGAATTCCGTGTTCAGAAAGCAAGTTCTTGGCATTGACATGTATTTAAAAAACCTAAATGCAAACATATCAATGTATGAAACCATCAAAAACAAAGATGAGGTTTATGAAGATCCAATGAAAGCCCATTTAGCAATTTTTACGATTCAGGTTGCTCTAGCTGCGTCTTGGAGACACATAGGAATTCAGCCGACAGCGATCGTAGGACAATCAGTAGGTGAAGTGGCTGCAGCATACGAATGTGGTTCTCTTTCTCTTGAAGATGCCGTAACCGTTATTTATAACCGTTCGCTAGCATTATCAGCCTGTAAAACTGGTTCAATGATGGTCATTCGTAACTGCTCGACCGAAGATGTTAGTCAAGCTTGTGCAGAGATTCTTAGCAATTTCAAATGTAAAGCCAATATTGCTGTTTACAACAGCAACGAGTCGTGTACGGTATCAGGTGATACAGAAGCATTGAAAAAAATAAAAACTAGATTGAAAGATGAGGCTGTGTTTATTCCCCTCAAAACCTCATGCGCATACCACAGCCATCATGCAAAAGAAGCGAGTGAGCGTCTCTTTGATATGCTAAAAACTATACGACCCAAACAGCCACATGTTCGTTTCTTTTCAACTGTAACAGGAATGGAGATGAAAAATGAATTTGCATCCCCAACATACTGGGCATTAAATGTTTTGAAACCTGTAAAATTTGAGCAAGCAATGAAATTGGTCAAAGATGAAGTAGAGAATGTTATATTTTTAGAAATAGGCCCACGCCCTGTATTCATGGCACATCAGTCAACGGTGTTTCCGAACACAAATATCGTGGTATTGCCTTCAATCAACAAATCATTGGATACAAAGACGTTTTTTAGCTCGCTGAACACATTGTTTGAAAAGGGCATAAACCCTTTATGGGAACATCTCACAGAAGTAAATGGTAGTCTCTCTAAATTTCCACGATATATTCTTAGCAAGCATGACTGCTGTTTTGAATCTGAAATGGTTAATAGATGGACACAAGAAAACATTTTAGAGGGGAATGTTGGAAGAATGATTCGTGCCGTACCAGGAACGAATAGAGAATTTAAAATTCTTATCTCAAAATCAAATACGCCCTTTGTATATGAACATGTCGTTGAAAATAAAATCCTTATACCTGGTGCCCTGTATGGAGAGGCAGCACTTGAAATTGGGAGAATTTTATTGACTGGTTATATAGAAAACCTTGAAGTTTCATGGAAAATTTGGAAACCTCTCGAAATCACTATGAACGAGGAAAGGTCTCTTCTAATTGAAACCGATTTTGTTTCGCCACGGAAAGTTGATTTTAGAGTTAGAGAATCACCAGGTTCCCGAATATTAGCAGACGGGAGTGCAGAACATATAGAGAGAGAAGATTCAACGACATTTGACGTTTCAGGATTTGAAATGACCCTCGGAAAACAACAGCCAAATATAGACATCTACAAAATTCTAAATACCTTGGGATTTAAGCATGGACCAACATTCCGGATAGTATCAGATTTCCGAACATCCATGAACGATAGTCTCTCAGAAATAAACTTATCAAAATATGTTCAGACGGAATTGCCAAGAACCTGTTTCCATCCTGTTATCATCGATGGCATGTTTCAGACATCTTTTAATCCAAATATGTTATCAGGGGTTTCAAAAGGATGGCGTATTCTTCCCACAGGTGTTAAAATGTTTAGGGTCAAACAAGCACCAGTAGAAAAGATGACCTGCTTTTCAAGATTCATGTTAAATCAGAATTCAAAATTACTATTTAACACACTGCTTTTGCGTGAGAATGGAATCGTTGTAGCAGAAATGGAAAGTTTTGAAATGAAAATAATTTCAGAAGATGGTGATTTTCAGAAATATTTTTTAGAAGAAGCATGGCAGAATACCATTCTTCCAGTTAGTGATAATTCTTATAGTATTCCAAGTTTAATTTTTTCTTGGCAACACGAAGTCCTTGAGGAGGCTAGAAAGATTTTGTGTAGGACTTGCTCCAACTTAGAGACTGTCGATCTATCTCACAAGGGGGAAAGAGAGGCGTTTCTGTCATTATTGAAGGAAAGAAGGCATTTTCATCTTTACTTCATTCCTGGTTTTGTCAATGCAGACGGATATTTAAATGGAAATGATGTGTTAGAAACTGTAACAAAGTCCTCCCATCTTCTCCTGAAGGTCCTTCAGGAGATAGATTCTAAAAACACAAGCCTATACATTATTACAGAATGGACACAGGGTGGCGAAGAAAGAGATGTCTTTGGTGTTTTTGGATCGGAACTTTGGGGTATGGGTCGATCATTTCAGAAGGAATGCCCCGACTTTAAACTGAATATGATTGATCTACATGGCCAGTTGTCGGACCTCCAGGATTTATTTTTGTCCATTATCAATGCTTTGAATAAAGACAAGGAAAATCTACTACCTCGGGAATATATCATAACGTCAAATGGAGTCCTCACCAAACAGCTTCAAAATATGCCTGCCCTCTCTTTTGAAAGTTTTGTCAAGAAAATTGATTCAAACAGAGAAAAGAATTTTTCTGTGCGCGCAAGATCTGCTAGAGATAATGAAACATTATTCAAAGTCCCAAACCTGGAAAAATCTACTTGTGCAAAAGAGAATTGCACTGTATTGATTCATGAAGTACTGCTATGTTCAAAAAATCACCTATTCCCTCCTCCAAAAACTATTCCAATCGGAAAGTACTGGAGTTCCAGTTATGACACAGGTCTTGATGTAATGGCTTGTGAGTTTACGGGACATTTCATGAAAAATGGGACGCATGCTGTAGGTTGTTGTCTCGTCAATGTAACTAGCATCGTGGAAGTAAACAAGTTATGTACATGTGAATTATCGGACTTACCATTTTACAGAATTGGAATGTTCTCCAACACTGTAATAGCAATGTGTTTGGCAGAAAAAATAGGAAGGAAGAGTAATGTACAGATATTATTTGACAAGCAATACGAAAACGTCACAAAACTGATACAAATGATGTTACGAAAAAAACATTGTTCAGTCTTTGCTGCAGAATTCAATGCTAAAAAAGACACGCAAAACCCATTAACGACGTGTCTTGTCTTACTCACAAATCAAATTGTGTGTTCTTTTGAAGCTATTGTATTCTGGTTTCCGAACATGAAACAATTACTGAGTATTAAAGGTCTTCTGCCATTGTCCACAACTTTGAATAATCAAGCCAAGTATCCATTTATAGAATCTTGTGCTGTTGATATGTATGAAGTATTTGAGCAAACGAAAATGCAAAAGAGATTTCTGCTAGCAAAGCGATTAATGCTTGACAATAAAGACTTTTTCAGCCAAATAACCGCTCCAAGTTCAGAATGCATATTAAACTTACATTCTTGGAATAGTACTACAGAAGTAGAAGTGCCAAATAAGTTCTTGATAAGACCGGATTCGGCATATATTGTTATAGGAGGACTTTCAGGTCTAGGTTGGGAAGTTACAAAATTTTTAGCCGCTCGAGGCGCAAAAGTGGTCATTACTCTTTCAAGAAGGACCCCGTCTTCATTAGAGAGGAATCGACTAGAGAACATGAAAAATATTCGAAATACATTAATGATACATGAAAAGGTTGACATTACAGAAATAAAAGATTTAGAACGTGTTTTCTCGGGTCTTTTGCGTCATCTAGGTAATACAAGGATTCGTGGAGTTTTTCAAGGCGCAGGTGTTCTCAAAGATTTACCTGTAACAAGGCTCACAAATGAGAGCTTTGATATTCCACTGATTCCAAAAATATTAGGTACTTGGAATTTGCATTTAATGACAAAAGACATTGATTTGGATTATTTTGTCATGCATTCTAGTATTGCATCACTTTTTGGAAACAACGGACAAACTAATTACGCAGCAGCAAATGCCTTTATGGATGCATTTGCGTACTATAGAAGATCAAAAGGTAAAGCAGCACAGGTTATCAACTGGGGTCTGCTTTCAATTGGAATGGGAGCTGATCAAGATATTCAGTCAATAAATGCAATGGGGGGTCTTCATGCTTTGCCGAAAGAAAAAATAATAGTTGCCTTAAACCATGCGTTGATAACAAACAGAGTACAATTCGCATTTGCAAGCATTGATATATCTCGTGTAGAGAGAAAAGAAGAGAAGTTACGAAAAGAGAGACAAAATCGTCTTAAAATTGACATTCATAGCAAAAACACTGGCAGTAATGAATCATTTCAAAATAAACACCAATTGCTTCAATCGTGGATTGATTCTATAAGGTATGCCTCAGCATCAGTTCTGGCAGTTGAACCCACAGATATTAAAGAAACATCAATTCTTCTAGATTTTGGATTAGATTCTCAGAAAGCAATAGAACTTATTAACTACTTATATGCATCCAGTCATGTCCGATTACCCGTTGTTTATCTTATGGCAGGAAAAAGTGCTGTTAGTGATATAGCTGAACACTTCATGTTGAAAATAACTGAGGATGACACGACCGATAACGATAATTTCGTTTCTGAAAGTATCTCATTCTTGGAGCAACACTATTTAGACTTGCGAAAAAAGGACACAGATAACCCTCATTTAACAATTAAGTTGGATTTACGTGTTTCATTACAATTGAAAAGTGCAGACATATGGAAAGGTTCTCTCTTGAATCTTATTTCAATCAACCCAGAATTTAGAACATTGCTTCAAGAGACAGAACAGGGTAAAAAGCGTGCTAACATACAAAAAGTCATAATTGACATTGAGGACGTTACTTTCCATTTTATTACAGTTTCCTCGAAAGAGGATTTTGAAAAGGCGTCTGACAGTATCTCAAAATTCGATCCATTCGTAGACATTCCATTAAAAGCAGTATTTTGGAAGTCTCCTACATTTGGAATTATCAGACTGTTGATAAATCACTGCTGCTTCGATAACGGATGTGTCATAGCTATTGTAAAAGATCTTAGTTATATCTTGAATCAATACATTTTTCATCAGTATGCTCCAGATACGTTTCCCCATCAGCCAGTTGATCCAGCGTTGGCAATGGAAAGGATGTTAAATGAGCAAATGGAAGAACTTAAAACTTACTGGAACATGGAACTTTCCAAATGTCGAGAATCACAGAGTTTTAAAAGGATTAAAAAAGTGGAGGAGATAAGCTCCGGAAGAACGAGCGAAGTCATCGCAAGGCACTTGAATGTGGATCAATTACAAAAGATGGAGGAAATGTCTACGAAAAGTCAAAGTACGCTGTTCACCTTGTTTTGTACTGCTTTTCAAGTAGCAATTAAAAAACAATTAAATTCCTACAGAACATGTGTAATTACAGCAGCAGATACCAGAATGCATCTCCCAGAATTCCGGGAAAGACCTGTTTTGTGTGTTAATTACATTCCCATTATTTCAACAGATATGATGGCACTAAGTTCATCTTTCTATGACATACTTCAGGAAAATAAAAATATTATTGCTCAAGGAATCTCCAAAAGTCTCTTTCCTTTCAAACTTATGAAAGAATTACCAGCCTTTGTAGAAGACATACATGGCGTGCACTCAATTGTAATGGAAGATTTGACTCTTTGGAGTGTTTTCAATACTTCTCAAGTTCAATTATCCAGTTTTGGCGTGGAACAAGATTCAAGCTATGAAACAAATCTTAGTGTAATTATTCATCCCAACAAGTCTTTAGAGCTAAAACTCAGGTACTCAGTTGAAAAAGTTGGAAGGTATCTTGCAGAGAACATCTTAGAAGATTTTGAAGCTATCTTGGAAAAGTTTGTATCGGATATGTACTTTAGTACCAATACCTTGCGTGCAAACAATGTAGAACGAGAGATAGAAAACTCCTCTGATGGTAAGTGATTCAATTTCATATTTGTCCAGCTTTCAAAGAAAACGTTTTTATAACTTTTTGACCAGTTGACCATCATTATTTTTTCACAGAATACTTCTTCTTGTACAACCGCAGCGGCAGAGTAAGGAAAAAGCAAATATTTATCGTAAACCATCCGGCATTTGCTTTGGAATGGGGTAAAAAGCGTAATGAAAGAATATCCGTTTCAGAAATGGTCCGCATTAATGGATTTAATGCTCAAGGTAAGGCATATCATACATGTACATGTAAAAATATTGTTGAATAACGGTTGCAATTTAATATGTTTAAGCACGTTTTCGCCGACATATCGAACTTTGATATGAAAGGATGAGTGCACTTAAGTTGTAAAGAGCAAAGCCACACAATGTGGTAGATGTCACCCGACATTTGCGATTTCTATACTTATTCGAGAAGGGACATTCATACTAAGCTTTTGTTTACTATGAGCCCAACGTTTTGCAATTTTGTGCGAATGACAAAAAGACGCTTCATATATTTAAACAACATGTTTGAAAGTTGGAAGTTTGCACAAGATTAAACTGGTACCTAAAATATTAAAAAATGTATGAAAAGTTCGATGTTTTCCTACGGAAAACGAAAGCTATTTACTTGTATGACCTATGTTGACCCCATCTGTGGAATAAATTATTTAAAATACTGATAATCACGTGAGTTTTACCCAAGTAAACATTCTTTAAAGGTGCTCACTGCATAGCCAGACTTTGTATCATTAAAGTCGTGCTGCTTAGAGATATGTCTATTTGGTTTTAGAAACATTAGAGGGTAAAGAGAGTTAAGTGTCTTTCATGAAAATGTCAACATTTTTATCATCCATGCAAGCCAATGAGACAGTATTGAAGTTCGTCTAAATTTTCTTTTTTTAAATATCGAAATTCAAAGAAACTAACATAAATACTTCTGGTATATTTTTTTTTAGTTTGCTCACTATGGCTTCGGTCATCTACTTAATCTCATTCTATTTTTTTAAACATATAAAACAGAGGAAGAAGTATCAATCGGTTAACGCGCCCGTCGATCATCCGTCATCACCTTGTTCAAGTGTCGATTTAATTGTGTCCACCCTTGATTTAAATAAACGAAACTCAAAGTAGATTCGGTACAACTTTTCCGGATTTGGGTATATAGAGGTATCTAAAAATATTCAGTTGTTTTAAATCCAATGCTGAGTTAGGTGATGCTTAACGTGATTTTTAATCAGAATTATCCATTTGTGTTTATCTATTTCCAAAAGAGAACGATTCGATAATATATTCGTCGGAAAATCGGAACAGAAAAGGGGCCCATTAAGTATTGCTTAAGTGCACTTGTCTTTTGATAAGATTCGAAGATTATATGTCTCTTATTTTAGTGTATATTTTTCGTTAGGGGTGTTTTGAAAGAATTCTGATTTTGATAGTGAGATTAGTAAAATATAGGCTCATGTCGCCTCTGTATAATGATCTGCAGGGCGATACATCTACCCCATCCCTAAACACTAGAATCATTTATTATGTGTGCACCATTCCACATCAATGCGATTTGTATGTCTCCGTCTATATGCGGGTATCTTAAATTCGATATTGGTCCCAATAGTGGTTCAATTTTCCGGAATTTAAGGCTTATACATGTTCTTTTCAATGGCATTGTCTATAATTATAAAAATATGTATAACAAAAAATTCAGGGCATAAACATCTAAAGCGTATGCTTACACAATAATCATAAATTAATTTTGCAATATATTTAAGAAATAAAGTCCGCGTTTTCGTGAATGTTGCAGAATAACCTCCGAGGTCAGAAATGTTTTTTGAAAGATAAAAGCCGACTGGGGCGTTAGCCAAGGCTTTTATATATCAAACAACATTTCGAGACCGAGGAGGTTATTCTGCATCATTCACAACAACAAGGACTTTATTTTTATTCTACTTCATGTACTAGCAGCTCTCTCTATATTAAGTCTAAGTCACCATGCTGCGATAACGCTGTGGCATTTAGCACCAGAGTGTAAATTCGTTTACCTGTGAATAGAATGCAGACGATTTGTGTTTTCGCTGCATTAAAATTAGCATTTTATTATTTATAAATCTGTTTTGTAGCTCATATAGCTTAATCTTTTGAATATACAAAACAAAATTAGTTTCCTATTTTACCGCTTTATCTTTAAAATCACGGAGTTTAAATATGGTGTAGGGAGAATAGGGAGAATCGTGAAACAGCCCCGCTTGGCTTTAGAAACCAGAATTCATCAGCTACTTTCTGCAATACACAGTGTTTCAATTGCAAAAGACGACACATCGATGTGGTTTAAATATGTATTTCATTCGTAAATCAAATGTCAATTCAGCTGCACAGGTTTGATACGTGTTCGGATATCATGATGATTTTTTGATGACGTTCTTCATTTATTGGAGAATAAAGTCCGCGGCGTTTCTTTGATATCGGCAATAATCGTAGAAGAATATAATGTAAAGATTAAAATGGGTAGCTGGAAAAGTTCCAAATGACGTACTAAAGTGCACTCATTCATTATAAGTGTTCATTGAGCAAATTGAAATATAAGACGCTAGATTTTTCTGTTAGATAACATCACATGTAATTCATTTTGTTAAAATTTCTGGCATAGTCAGTAAATGCAAATGGTGGATTCAAAAAACTAGGATTGTCTATATTAAATTGTTTAAATTACAGGTTTTGCATTAATTTGCAGTATTTCTTTTACAGATTTCTATGGAATCTACATAAAAACAATTACATCTGAACAACGGTTGTTGATAAAAGATCGAAAAAAGCGAGATGCTTGGATTGCCGTTCTTAGAAGAAAAGTATCTGAATGTTTTGAAGCTACGTGCGAAAGTACAAGGTTGTAATTGACAACAAATGTTAGAAAATCAGAAACCTAAATTGTATGCGCTCTTAAAATTAAAATTAGCAATTTAGTTTTCAGAAAAATAACGCACATTTGCAGGTCTGTTTTCAGCTAGTGAGTACTAGTAAAAGATAAGTTTAGTTGATATGATATTACTGTATCTTGTCATAGAGATTAATAATACATGTTAATAGTTTAAAATGAAAGATCATTTAACTAACTATGTCTAGTACAAAGCATATTTGTGAAAATGATACTTATTGTACAGAATTGTGGCAAACATATATAGATTTTTTCATCATTTAAACATGCATGATTTTGCGATTTATATATATTCATCGTATGTCTTCGAATACAGAGGATGCGTGTTTTCATAAGAGGTCTGTTTCAATAAATAATGTCCCCGGTGCTCGGAAAGAAGCAAAAGGTGCTTTTGATTGATTTAGTCTTAATGTTATCCAAAACAAAAACACATACTTTTCAGGGTGTGTGGGTTTGGACGCTATCATGAAGAAATTTAATGAATAGACTCCTGATTCTGGCTCCTTTCTCTCATTATCCTTTCGAATTTTTTTTTTTTTTTTTTTTTTTTTTTTGCAAAAACTTTCCTTTCTTGGCCCATCCAGAAATTGAACTGCCTCCTCGAATAAGAATTTTAACAATAAGACTACTAGTATTTAAGAAAATGGCACATAGAACTGTTTTTGTCCTCTTGTAATTCTTTGTGAAAAGACCTTTGCTGTTTTTGTGCATCTTGTTTTAATTCTTTTTCTATTCATTTATTTATATGAATATCATACAATATATTGTTTACAAAGCGGTTTTTTTACAGCATACATAGTTTTGAATATAGAAATAAATATTATACATAATAAGCAGAGACGCAAACATCTGTAATTATCGTGTATATAATAAACTATAATTGTTAATTATATAAATAACATTTCTTGTTTGTTTAATTTCAATACCAAAATGAAAGCAATGATTATTATATTTCACATCATTATTGTTCATTGAAATTCACCTGTTCATCTGTCTATAAAACAGACATAATTAACCGTAAATTTCACAAATGTGAGTGGATCTTTTTTGGAATTCTTAACAAAATTTACAGCAGCTTTAATGAAGCGTTTAATTTCACTCGACATCGTAGTCAATCTAATTAAAATTAGATGTTAGATCCGCTCGCATACTCGCTACACTAACATCGATGTTAGTGTAGCGAGTATACGAGTAGATCTAACATCTAATTTTAATTAGCTTGCATTGTAGTTTACTGATTCACCACCATTCCTTTTAATGCAGTGTCTCGAATAGCCCTTCTTTTCCAGCTTCTCACAATAGAAATATATCAGATGAAAAGTGGTCACCTAAACTGATATCAATTCATTAAATATTAAATAATGAGAAAAAGTCAAGCATAATGTCGTATGATATATGTATTAGGACACAGAGATCAGGACATTATATATTGAGCAGCCCTCATACCGGTATATCATTTACTTTGCATAAAAAAAATGTGATGTTTTTTAAATCTGTTCTCTTCATGTATTCTGGTGAAATATCCCTCTGCTCCAAATTTCACCTTTTTTTAAAATTCCAAATATGTTTATTATTTTTTAAAAAGTATTTGAATATATTTTTTTCTCTATAGAGCCATGGTTCTAGAAGTATGTTAGCACTGGAAGTCAAACATAACATAATATCATACCAAGTCAT